CCCCAGGGCCACATCGAAATTCTTTGCCTTTTTTTTTTTTTTTTTATATTCAATTTTGGCCAGCCTGGCAACTGTGTCCCCGGCCATTATGGTAATGTAGGGTAAAAAGGGAAAAAAAACGAGGATGAAAGCGACGAAGGCAAGAGAGGGAAAGCGAGGAAGAAAAGGAAGGCAACATGGAGAAAAGGGAGATCTCTTCTCTACATCGTTATGCATGGTGTTATGGTCGTTTCCTTGTGTAGGCTAGACTCCTGCTAGAGCCATCATGATGGGAGGTGATGTGTGAAGCCCATTGTCTAGAATCTAGATGACAGTGCTTATAGGACCAATACATTCGACCCTCTTTTGTACGAGGGGGATCCCCCCGCCCGCCAAGCTTCTCTGAAACGCCCATGCGATATTTTTCTGTTTTGTTTTGGCTGGCACCACCAGCCATTTTGGTCCGGTTGCCCGAAGCCTCCGAAATTCTGAATGAGCTGATTGTTGTTTCAAGATGCCTGGGGCCAAGTACCGGTGGTGGAAACCGCCAGTACACGGCCCCAGCCAGGCAGATAGTTTTCCGTTGCCACAAGCAAAACTCGGAGGGGCCGCGCAGCATGGGGCGCCGTTGAAAAAAAATAATATGCACCCTCCGAAGTGGTGTGGGTTTGGCGCTGACACCCGCGGCCTAATGTATGGCATTGTGGTGCTTTAAGTGAATGTTTGCTGGTCTGCATCAGCAACCAAGGAACTGCTTACACATGTCTCTCAGAGACTGACAAGGGAGGAAGTGCTCAGAGACTGACAAGTGTGCCAACTATCTTACTGATGTGTATTTGCAGCGATGCTAACGAGGCAGCAGTGAAGGAAGAGACTGGTGCAACCATTCGCTGCTTTCCGTTCGATCAGCCGGAGAGCAAGACGGCAATGAAATGCCTATTCACGAGTGCGCCTGCGAAGGAAGTCGCAATTTTTGCCAAGAGCTACTGAACGATGCTTTCTATCATCCAATTTTGAAAACCTATTATTTGTAATCTATTTGAAAATTGAAAAATGGTAATAAAAATTTTGAAATATAAGCCACCTTCTTGACCGAGTCTAGTGCATTGTCTTTTGTTGATACGGATTCGCATCTTCACCCTGAACACTTGCATATATTTTTTTTGTTTTCCCGTTCTTTGCAGTCAGTTTAGTCATTGACTTCCAATACCTGTGCAGCTGTTGAATCTGTAGGTCTCATTTTGGCTCCTCTCTCTCTCTCTCTCATTTTGGCTTCTCTCTCTCTCTCATTTTGGCTTTTCTCTCTCTCTCTCTCTCTCTCTCTCTCTCCATGGGTGGGTGGGGGCTCGTGTGGGTGGGGGTGGGGGTGTGTGCTTGCGTGCGTGTGTGCGTTGTGTGGTTGTGGGCACATCCGTTTATCACTGCATCCATCCATGTGTTGGTTCATTCAAGCTGCCGACCAACCAGTCTATCCATGACTTAGTCAGTCAGTGAGTCCATTAGCCTGTCTGTGTATCCATCCTTATGCCCATGCCATATTCTCCATCTCCTTAGACTGTTATGACAAGGAATGCACCAAGTTGAGCTGGGTTGAGGTGGCAAGTTTGATGGAAATCACCTCCACAACTTTGCTTTGGGCGTCATGGCTCTCCTATTTTTCGCTCGCAACTTCACACCCAGGTGCTTCTGGAATGCAAGTCCACCCAGGGACGGTCAATAAGGGCTCTCAAATAAAGCACAGCAGAGAACCTGGTGGCTCAAATTAAAGAGAGAACCATCTCTCAAAAGAGCTGAAACCTCTTTTCCCGACTTTATTCAGAATCTGGCGAAAGGGACAAAAATGCCAGTGGCAAGTACTTGTTGACCATTGACTTGAGAGTTCGAACTGGTGCTGAGTGTCCTGTCCTTGGTATCCACAGGAAGCTAGGAGCGGAATAAGGGCGTACTCAAATTATGGCATGGAGGGCTGAATGCGGCTGTGAGCTGTTTAGTACATGCGAGCAAGTTGTGGCTCGACTGTACCCCAAGTGAGGAAAAGCAAGACGATTTTGAGCTCCCAACCTCCCGACCTCCCGACCTCCCGACCTCCCCCAGAATCTCCTCCTCCATTTTTGCAATGGACAACTTGGCCACCCATCAATAGATTGGAGCAACCAGAAAGATTGCTAGGCAGGGCTGCTCTTATGACCCTCCCTAGCAACCGGCCTGGTTCTTTTTTGTAAGAAAAAAGGAAAAAAAGTTAAAAAAAAACTTGGCCACGCAAAGCCGGTGTCCTCCAACAGTTGCGGGCTCCTTTTTTTTTTCTTTTTTTTTTTATTTGGACCATTTCTCGATTTATGGGTGTCATCCTTGCGCAGGGGCCATGCTAATCTTCTCTGTATCGTTCCAATTTTAACAGATGTCCCGAAGGACACTGTTGCGGGCTCCAAGAAGAAGAAGAAGAAGAAGAAGAAGAAGGGAAACTGGGCAACATTGATCTATCTCAGTTGGTACACCCTTGCTGAAATGACCTGAGTTCAAATCGGGATGGAACTAGATGAATGAGAACAAATATGTATCCCATTAGAAACAAAGTTCTAGTGCAGTACAAGCATGTGTATCCCCTCCCACCCAAAGTTCTAGTGTGGTTCATTCACATATCCTAAGAGAACTACTACCGAAGTTTTTTTTCTTTTTTCTTTTTTTGGAACAAAAGCCCAAAACCACATACCCTCCTAGTACGAGTTCATGTTGCTCCATTCTATTTGTGGGGAGCTGTACGTAATGCTCATCAATCCGACTAGAGTCAAAGTTTTAGGGCCTAGTTGTACGACTCGCCATTCACGAAAACTCCAAATGCATGGGGACAAGCACGATGTCCACATCCACTCGAAAAACGTTGGTGGTTTTCGTATACAATACTACACATTCATGTCTCGTGCTCTGCGCCGTCGTTTCCGAGAGACCAGAGGCTGGTCAACCTCGAGTCAACACTATAAGTTGACCCAGCCCCTGTTGACCGACATTCATTCAGTCTTGCACTTGCTGCTCACGACGCTGGCTGGACGCTAGCTCTATGCTGGCATAACTCTGGCTCGTTCATTGCTGGCGCTGCGCTGGCTTGACATTGGGCAATGACGCGAGACTGCTCTGCGGTTGATTGATGGTGGCGCCCTCTCTGTCTTCGACGCCAGGTGGATCAGAGACCAACCTCGAGTCAACACTATAAGTTGACCCAGCCCCTGTTGACCGACATTCATTCAGTCTTGCACTTGCTGCTCACGATGCTGGCTGGACGCTAGCTCTATGCTGGCATAACGCTGGCTCGTTCGTTGCTGGCGCTGCGCTGGCTTGACATTGGGCAACGACGCGAGAATGCTCTGCGGTCAATTGATGGTGGTGCCCTCTCTGTCTTCGACGCCAGGTGGATCAGAGACCATGCTGATGTGGCACTTACCACGCTGTCTGCAAGATTGATGAGACATGGGCGAGGAGGAGGAGGGAGGATTAGGGATGTGAGATTGTGGGAAGCTGACCTGTATGCGTTAGATTGATGTTGCGCATTTTGCTGATTCGTCATCAAAGGTGGTCCGTGCTGTGCAGACGCCGCATGGAGTTCTGTTCATTGTCAGTGTGTGTCAGAGGAGACTGTCTGCTGACGTGAAGAGTCGGAGATGCCCGAAGGAGGAGTGGGTTTGTGAGGGAGGTCTATCTGCTATGCCGATGGACACTTTCTCCTCCAACAGGTCAGTCTTATCTCCCTCCTATCAGCCTCTTCTCTGGTGACGTGACATTGGGGTACTCGATTACTTGTACGATTTTCGGAGACATTGTATTTGCGCTGAGACATACTGTGTATCTTGACATTGACGAACTTCTCTCCTGACGGGGTTTAATCCACCTTTCTTTGTTCTTCCTTGCCTATCATGTTTGTTTAGAGCACTACTTGGATAGAGGGATGGCACAAGGGCGTTTCAAAAAAAAAAAAAAAAAAAAATCTGATCGGCGTGATCGCACTGGCATTATTGCATTCAGGCCGGAATACGATCTGATCACACTGGCATTCGCATTTACTGAAGCTCTTGTTTCTGCACCACCCTCTTTTTTCTGTTCGCTCCCCGCCCACGTGGAAAGAAGCTGTAATTCTGTATGAGGGACACTGGACCCGATTTCCAGCAGGTGCTGCTTCCCACCAATAGATCGGAGCCAGCAGATGGGCTGCTAGTGGTGGGGGCTCGTATCACCACCACTAGCAGCACCAATTGGTATGTCTGGAGAAAAAAAAAGACTAGCTTTGTGAAACTTTTAGCATGTATCCCTCGGCGGTTAATCAGGCCGCGTCCTTTGTGGTGCGGTGTACCGAATAGAAAGCAGCGGCGGCGCCAGGCAAGAAGGCACATTTTGTGCTCGCCTGCCAGTTCCGCAGAAAAAGAAAAGACTTCTGAAAAAGAGGCTCGGACACGCTGGTGGTCTAAACCACCAGTGCTTCTGAACCTCTTTTTCCTGATGCCGATTTCTGCCACATGCCAAATTCTGCCACGTGCTGAATTCCACCACAGCCTGGCCCACATGCTGACCTCTGCCCCGTCCTGAATTCTGCCGCGTATTCTGCAACGTGCCAAATTCTGCCACATGCTGCCACGTGCAGATTTTTGCCGATCTGGGGACTTGTTGGCTCCATCCCCCGCCCAGCCTTTTTGTTTTGGTAGGCCGAGCCCCAAAAAAAAGACGTGGGGAGTTAACGACTACATTGGGAAAAGTACTGGTGGTTTAAATGCGAAGCCAGACAGCTCACAAGCACAGTAAACGCAGTGCATGATTTTGTTATAAAGCTGCAAACCAGTTCAAGTATCTTACTTTAATCAAGTTGGGACTCAGTTGGAATTGATCATATTCCCTCTAGTTCCCAAAACGATGTGGAAACAAGAAACTCCACAAATAGGATTGCTCAAAATGATGTGGAAACAAGAGCTTCCACAAATAGGAACGCCAAAGGAGGTTAGATGTTCCTATCACTTGTCAGACAGCACACAACGTGACACAAGTGCATTAAATTCAGGATGTATTCCAAAAGGTGGCAAAAAAAAAAAAAAAAAAAGTGAAAAAAGACAGTCAGGAAGTGAAGTATCTTGTGTTTTTTTTCCCCCGAGTCCATTTGCTAGGCCACTATTCCGGCGGTGGTATGAGAACCACCGGAATTGAGGCCTTGCCTATCGGGCTGCATCATCTGCTGGTGGGGAGCGGCACCTGCTGGAAACAGGGTCCAGCGTCCCTTGGGTACATCGTTACGCAACAGCATTTCCTGTACATTTTGTCGGGGGCCGTAGCTTTAATCTTTTCCAGTGTGGAGCTGTAGATTCTTTCCCATTGGGCTGCTAAGTTACCCTGCCTGGCTCTAAGCTCCTCTCTTCCACTAGCCCGGCCCATGTGCAGCCCCTCCCTGAACATTGAGCTATTACATCCTTGTGGGAAACTGTTTCCGTGTCCCACTGTCAGAGGTTACAGTACATGCTAGTTCTGATAGACTCATTCCACAAGGGCGGCCCTGTCCTTCCCAATTAATTGCAGCACGGCAGGCGTGGTGTGATTTCCCCAGCCCCTGTAGCAGGAGGCACCTTGGCGCCTTCGTTTCGGTATTCGGAGTGAGTGTCGTACACCGCTAATTGCAGCACGGCAGGCGTGGTGTGATTCCTCCAGCCCCTGTTGCAGGCGGCACCTTGCCGCCTTCATTTCGGTATTTGGAGTGAGCTTCAATGGAGGCCCTTTGAGGCTGATATATTGGTTTTTGGTTCGTCAGCGAGCTGCTGGTGTTGGGTGAACCGGCTGGCTGAAGGCTGAGTGGGGTAGAGGACCAGAGGTAGAGGACGGGGTGGAGAGAGAGGCGGGGAGGAAAGGGTGGGGGATCAGGCTAGTAGGGGTCTTGGGGGACGTCAGGAAGTTTCATAGGCATCAGCGGAAAGTTGGTTGGTTGAAAGTCAATACAGAAGTGCCCTGTTGGCAAGAATTCCCACTGGCTCTCCGCAGAGAGCCAGGGTTGCCACTGCAGGTCGGGCTGTTGGTCCAAGGTGCACAATCTGTGGTTGTGATCCACCTATGTCA